GGGCAAAATCGTTCATTTCGCATGTTTTGATGTATGTTTTGTATCCAAAATCCATTGCTGCAAAAGGAGCATCTTTGATTTCTCATCGAAGCACTTTACTTTATGACTTGCATTTTCGAAAATCATACGAATTGTTAGTTTGGGCTGCCGGGCACACACACAGTCGGCACAGCAGTTCCATTTTCCTTTATCTTGAAGAGAATGTTTCGGGTTTAAGTCTGTCACGTGTATGGTACAGACGTTCTGTCTTTTTAGTCTGCGCTTCTTTCTGTGAGTCTAGCTAGCTGGACTTTGATATTTACGAGTTATCAGCACTTCTGTTGCCTAGCGCTTTCTTATTATGAGCACGGCGATGTTGCATTTTTTAGTGGGCTAGCATTATAACATTATTTACAGGAAGCAGAAGGACTAATCCCACAACTGTATCGATGGGCAGAAAGCGATTCGACTAACTTTTCTTTGAGAGCCTATTCGTTTGGTCTTCTGGCTGCTGCTTTGGAGGTGTCCAACGTTGCAGGCGGACTTCGAGCCGAAAATTCCTCTCTCATTCCAATCGCTTTGCAACAGTTGAGAATTTTATTAGTAAGTTTGCATTTGTGTCTAATTTTAAATCTTAACTTTCGGGTTTGTGAATTCCAGCGAAGAGAGGAAATACCGGCGATAATTTGAGCCGAGCAAATCTCACCCTGTTATTGATAAGCGTGAGCAGTTTATTTTTACTGGATTATTTGGCTGAAAAGTAAGACTCCGAATCAAACGGCTTAGCATCTAAATTGTCAGTGCATCTTACTAACGTCGAAACACTGCGCCGGCACTTCGGCCAGCTTTGGTGTTTTGAACGAGCGGCCAGTCAAGCACTGCTGACGAAATCCGGCAATTCTAGTGTAGAAATGACGAGCGTGTCGTTGTGAAGATATAATAGCGATACTCACCGGGGTAGCTGCTGCGATCATGCATTTTGGGGAATTCTATCTTGCAGACGTTTGTTTTCAAGGCTTTCACTGTTTTACTGCTTCGTATTTGTATAAATCATCCTAATGTTCTGTTCGGTCAAAACTTACACTTTTCGGTACGTGAGGCCTAGGCGTATGTGGAAGATGAAGCAAAAAATTCGGGAGTCACACGCAGACGAGAAAAATTCTATTGAAATTTCGGCTTTCTAACTTGCCTGGCTCCGGAGTTGGGAAATTTCCTGGCATATGCATGCATTTGTACATGAAATGTAGGCACATGTGGATGTCGAGTCTAATGTCTTCTGTGCTCATCTACGTGAGATCTAGTCTCAAATGAGTACTGAATTTGAAATATTTAAGTTGCACACAAACACTGAACGCCATCCTAAAATTTCAGTTTCTTAGCTTCCCTGTTCCCGAGTTAGTAATTTTCGCACCGAGACTTTCACGTAACCGTAAGTGGAACCCGGGCGTACGTGAGGGCTGGGTTTAAATTTCCGGGTTCGCACTGGGAGGGGACATTCTCTGAAAATTTCAGTTATCTAGCTTGCTTTTTCCCCCAGGTGAAAACCCGGGATAAAAAGCACTCGGACACACACAGAACGAGGGGTGACAATTTATGTCTTGTGCAGCTGTTACACGGCACAAAATGCATAAGAACTGGCGCTAGGCTAAATACACAGGTGGGAGCTGGCTGGATGCGGTCACTGCTTGAGTAAGCCATGTTAATTTTCTGCGCATCGAATTCCAGCTTTCTTTATCCGTACATGTTACGAAATTTTTTTATAGAAGAATTAATCTGTAGAGGAGTAAATGAGCTTGCAGTTAAACTACTGGCTCTTGCTTCTCGTGACCTTGTACATGACTCTAGTGATTCATCATTAATTTGCGAGGCGCTCGTTGGTTAGACATTTCTGTCAAATTTTCCAAAAGATGATATTTTTGAAGTTTCATTGCGTCATTGAAAGCGTCTCATTGCGCACAGATTTTTTTCCTGCATTGAATCTACTTGTGTTTGTGAACTTCAGGGCCAAATGGAGCGAGAAGTGGAAACAGCTAGAGCTGTAGGTTCTGGTGCTGTTGTCGTGCATGAGCCAGAAACTGAGGAAGAGGAAACTGGCGACGAAGATGGACCGTTTGCTGGCATGCCAAGTGAATCGTTTCATACCGGTGAACGACCTTCGTTGGCCGACGTTAGTGTTAAATGCAAAGTTTTTGTTTTGAAGTCCAAAATAGGACCGGGTTTCTACGGTTAAGCTATGGAGGGGGCTATGGGTTCTTTTTGAAGAAGGGCCGTTATTGATGCTACTACTGCTTTGCTGTTACCGAATTTTTTGCGGCTACTAAGTCTTTCTAATGTGAGCACGCATCCATCTTTTGCATTGGTACTTCGCTGTTTTCTGGAACATTTATTAAGACAGATCCTGTGATTTGTTTTAGGTTCTGAAAAATCAGAATTTAGTGGGTTCTTCGGGTGTCGGTATTTGTGAAACTACATCAGATGTTGCGTCAACTATTGCTGATGCGAGCCAGCACCAACACGAATCGACCCTCAGGATCAAGTGTGTTTTCTTCAAGCGAGTTTCTGTTTATCCGGTGATCCTTTTTTGGATGTTTTTACGGCCTCCTGCAGTTTCAGCGGGCCAGCATTGGACAGTTCGCTAACAGCAACAGCAGCAGGATCAGTATGTGCGAGCTTGTCTCCGCCACCAAAAAAAGCCAGAATGGATAAACCCCGACGTGTTGTAAGTAGCATTGTTTGATATTTTTTCTCAGTTTTTATCTTCCGAGCCTCAGCACCACAGGATAGTTCAATTATGAATGTGCCCGGCCTGTGGATGCATTTTAAAGAAATCGGGGCTCCACACTGCAATTCTTGATATGTGCGAAATTATTTTGATTGTCGGCTTGCAGATAATGCAAGTGATTTCCAACATAAACAAACATTTCCGAGGCGTTTTCAACTGACATATTGTTTTGGAACATATCAGTGCACAACGAACAGTGCATCAGTGGTAGGCTGGGAGGGGATTTTAGATCCAGTTCGATATGTAAACAACTCCTGTGCTCTCGTGTGCTGTGTCTGATTATGAGCGGAGTGCGGTTCTTTAATAGCTTCTTCATCATTTCAGACTCGCAACTTAAGTGCCGAAACGTTGGGGCAGTTTGTGGAGGGGAAAAGCAACAGCCAGTGGGCTGTGCTGCAAAGACGTCGTCTGGGCGAGCATCGCATATTTCCGCCCAATGTAACCATGATGCAACGCCTGATCCTGGAGTACCTCATCTCTATCGCCGAATATCAAGATGTAACTGATTAACATGCGAAGAATTGTTGTTTTCACAAAAACGGATTGAATGGCCTTCACCCCCTTGTCTTACCGGTTCAATTAGGTATTCTGGAAGATGAATTTTGGGTTCATTTTCGCGAAAGCAGAACCTGTACAACTAAATCTCAGTATAAAGGATTCTGCAAGGAGCATTTACCAGTGTGGAAGATTAGCTTATGAATTCAGTTTTTACGAAACTTAAAGCGTTGGTTTCATCTTACTGGCATAAATATTTTTAGCTTTTGAAAGAAACTTATGAAAATCGCTCAATGGATATCATATTGCGTTATCTGCGTTGCGCTCAGAATTACGATAGCCGGCTTGTATTTTGTGTTTTGAAGGTATCAGTTTTTTGTAGCAGCACATAATTTTTGCTCTCATTATACGTGTATTGTTGCTAAGTCATCCCGTTTTGTGCCGACGGCCTTATTCTCAACGAAGCTTTATGATTAAGAAAAGGTCTCAAGCATCCTGCATGTCTTCAGGACGCTGACTTTGTCTTTCTGGTGCCTGAACTGTGAGGAAGGTGCATGTGAAATGTTCGATGTTGCTGCGATTACATTCGTGTAGCTGTTTGCTGTGCGTATTAGCAGCGCCAAATCAGGAAATGAGTCATTTGTTAGCAAAACAGGCGGTGTTTTCTGTATTTGGTTCCTCGATATCCTGTGCGTGTTCGATTTATGAAGCGTATTCTGTGTGATCAGCGAGATATCTCCTGCTGCAATAGCAGCCGCTTTCTTTGGCTCAGCCGGTCTTATGTCAACATCCCCTTTTTTTTATTTCATTACAACACGGCAGCACTCAATAGTCGAACAAGGCCCATTCGGTTTTTTGCTCTTGAGGGCGCCTGTTTATTGTGGCCTGGAATGTCTGGAACAGCTGATGAGTTTAATAGCAGTGCTGGGGGTTTTTACATTTGCACACCATGAGGGAACTCGGTGGTTTTGAAGCCATATGTTTTGCGTTAGCGTATCAGAGTGGGTTTGCTGAATGTTTGCCATATGTTGAAATGTTAAAAACGAGCATGATTTGATGCCAGGTGCAGCCATGCTGCTGGGAAAACTAATCGCTCCGTTATGTGCTGATTGCTTTCAGTCATATTTGTTACCGCATGCCTG